GGAGCGTCACAAGTTCCATGCTCCTTGTCATTGTTCATGTGGCAGAACCAGGATTTGTCCTTTATCTCGCTGGCCGCCGAGTTGGAGATTCTGCGCCATTTCAGACATGTTGGGTTTTCACACTGCACCCAAGTAGACTGTGAAACCTGTTTCAAAAAAATAATCTAACTTTTTAAAAATTATTTTTTAAGTATGAAATAAATTAGCCTGATGGCCAACTTCTTTATTTTAGATTTCATACATACCCGCTTGTCTCTACTAAACTTCAGAAATGTTGGATTATATATATAATAACTTATAAGTTTACATTGCTGGTATGTTAAAGGGATAATAACTCTTCGTATGAGATCTATATTTCACAATAAAAACATTGTGAATAACTCATAGAAATATAACATGTTCTGTTTTACCACAAAAACGGCAGTTATAGCTATTATTCTGATATCTGAGCTTGTCTTTAGACCACGTGACCTCCATTGATGGCTATACTCTGTTAAAATCTCCTAAGAGATTTTAACAAAAAACCAAACTTTTTAGAAAAAAACCAGGGACTAACTTTGAATGTAAAAATGGATTCATTAACCATTGGTAAGTATGGGAAAATTGTTGCTTACTCCAGGAAAATTCATTTTTTGACCGAAACGAAGAGTTATTATCCCTTTAAGCAAAGAACCCACTAAAGCAAAAACAAAAAAAATACAAAAAAAAAAAAAAATCACAAAATCTGGATACTAGTATAACCAAATGAAAGCTTGTGATTGGTATAGAAAACATCAATTACATCATTGAAGTAAATAAGCGTGTACAGACAGAAATTTGAAAACACACAGCTGACATGAACCCTGGGTAACACATCTTCAGTTAATCACTGTAAGCAACAGTCTGAATAATAATTTAAAAAATACTTTTTACACTAATTGGAATATACTCTCTGCTTAAGGAAAAAATGCAAATACTACAATTAAGTGAATTTCAATATTCAGAAAAATATTAATTTAAAAAAATACTCATCTTTTCTTCCATTTCCTTGATCGCATTGTGGTTGTGACACTGTTCAAGGCAATCCACTTCAGAAGGAATGCTCATTTCTTGTTCTCTGAAATTCATTTATTTCATGTTTGTATTACATGTTTTAAAGTGGTGTTAAATAATAAATATTACATTTTATTAAAAAATCACTTGAATTTACTTTAGAGCTTAAATCATAATCTGTATCCACTAAAAGATTAATAGGCCTTAATGAAAAGTGTGTGAGTTGGAGGGGGGGGG